GACTTGAAACTCAGTATGACTCAAAGTGAAAGATCTATTAGCCAGTTTGCTCTAGCATCCTCAAGACTGATAGTCCACATGTCTCTTCTGTATGCCCATATGGTATTATTCTTCTAATTAAAAGTTTATGCATGATGTGTGGCTATTTCTTGGATCCTGATTCCAACTAACTAACCAATTTAAAAAGAGAGAGAGAGCCGGGCTTGGTGGCTCAGCCTGTAATCCCGCGCCTTTGGGAAGCTGAGGCGAGTGGATTGTCTGAGCCCGCAGGTTCAAGACCCGCCTGGGCAGCAAGACCTCATCTCTACAATAAATCAAAAAATCAGCTGGGCGTGGTAGCGCATGCCTGTAATTCCGGCTACTCGGAAGGCTGAGGTGGAAGGATCGCCGGAGCCCAGCAGGTTGCGGCTGCGGTGGCCGGGAGCGGCCACTGCACTCCAGTCTGGGCGACACAGTGAGACTCCAACTCAAAAAAAAAAAAAAAAGAAAAGAGAGAGAGACAAACAGGAAAATTTGTGTACTGACTTAGTTGCTTGGTGATATTAAGGAATGCATTTTTTTAAGTGTGATAACTATATTATGATTAGGTTAAAAACAAGTCCTAATCTTTTACAAATAGATACTAAAGCATTTACAGATGAAACAGTATGTCTGAAATTTGATTCAAAACTGTCTGGGAGGTAAGAATGGGGTATGGGGTGTAGAAAATGATTAGTTCTGTGTTGTTTAATTGTAGACTGGCTGATGGGTATATGGGGGTCCATTAGAGTATTTTCTCTACTTCTGTAAATGTATTAAATTCTCCAAACACACAAAACAAACAAAAAAGATGGGAAAACCATTATATTAATATATTTGGGAAACAGAACTATGCATGATTATTTTTCGCATTCTTTTTGTAGTTTTCACATTTTCTGTATTACTTTTACAATGGAAACCATAAAATAAACTATTCAAAGAAATGCACATATCCTTGTACATTGACCTTGGACTCTGAATATACTCTATATTCTCTAAATAGGCAGAACAAGATTGCCCACAATCTAATGGGGTCAAGGTATCATGACAAAAGCATTTCCCATCTTTTTTAAAAAGCAGTTCTCTACTATTCAGACACTTTTAGAAAGGCCACTATGGAAGACAAGTATTGTCTTTAAACATAAACTAGACAAGAACATAAAGGTACGTAAGGATAAAATGCATTAAAGACTGATTTAACAAATTTAACCAATGATATAGTTCCTCTTCATAGTTAGGCAGAGTTTAGGTCAAAGACAGCCAGAACTCCCAGGGAAGTTGGTGTCTGTAGCCACCTCCAGTTTTCCCACTGATACAACAATTATTTCTACATATGCCATGATAAGAAAGAACAGTTTAGGGAGAACTGTATTAAGCTAGACCTGCCTTGATCTTCACTCAAAGCTAAATAAAAGTATAACGAGAGGCAACAGTACAAGTGAATCTCTTTAAAATGCTGGTATGGAAAAAAGGAACAAATATCAATATTACAGTTCTACACTATCATCTTCTAATTTTTTTTTCTAGCTGCACTCCTTCCTACATTCGGTTTAGCAAACCTTAAGGTATGTTCCAATACCATTCAATGAAGTAACCTCCAAATATAAGTGTTAGCTCAGTGGCATGACGTTAAGTTTTGGGGACAAGAGCAGAATCTGGATTCTCTGTGCTAATGCTAAATGTATTCAAGTCTGAAACAAATCCCACTAATTAAGGTTGAAAGAGAAGTACTTATGTGTCAGTGGAAAATCCTCATAGAACAAAAGCGTAGAGCTGCAAAGATCTTATAAATAACAAAAAACTGAAGCCCAAATTGTTTGTTCAAGTTCACAATGACTAACATGGACCTAGTTCCAGATCTCCTGGATCCTAAGGACTGCACTTTCCAGGATACCACCTGAGAATTCTACTAATTGCTTCCTTTAATCTCTCTTAAACCATAAAACAATGTCCAAGTACTTCCTGCTCTTCAAGGAAATGGAATCTCTGGTTAATCTGCAACTAGCAAATCATAGTTTGAGGAGCTGCAATTTAACTTTATGCCACTAACTAACCTTAAATTTATGATATTTAAACACAAGTTCCTTTATTAGTCAGTCCTTGTTTTCATTTATAAAATACTAAAGCAGCCTTTATGTTCCTGCATGGGTTAGGAAATCTTTAAAAACAAACTATTGGCCTGGGCATGGTGGCTCATGTCTATAATCCTAGCATTTTGGGAGGCTGAGGCGGGAAGACTGCTTGAACCCAGTTTGAGACCAGCCTAGGAAACATAGCAAGACCTCCTCTCTACAACACCAACAACAAAAAAATCAAAAACTTAGCCAGGCATGGTAGTGCATGTCTGTAGTCCCAGCTACTCAGGAGGCTGAGGCAGGAGGATCACCTAAATCCAGAAAGTCGAGGCTGTGGTAAGCTGTGATCGTGCCACTGCACTCAGTGCCAGCGTAACGGAGTAAGGCTCCTACTCAAAAATAAATAAATAAATAAATAAATAAACAACACAAACTACTAAGTTCTTCTTTATACAGTTATCTTAAGGGCACAGATTGCAATATATCAAACTCTATTTAAATAAGCCATGTTTGAATAGAGCTGTACTCCATAACAATAAAGACATCGTTAATAAAATTTCCTTTCTTATACTGAGAAAACTTCAGACAGGAGTTCCTTGCAAGAGAATGAGAATGTGACATTGGCACAGAAGTGGAAAACTGCCTATAAAAGATCAGTTGAATGAGGAAGAGGGAGCAGGCAACAAAGTAGAGATAAAAGAAACAAAAAACAGGGTATTTGGATAAATTCTTTATACTCAGAGAGCAACTTTAAATCACTGAGTGCCTGGGCTCACAGGGGAAACATTAAGGAAATCTTAACTTATATAACCATATTGACTGAAGCTGTACCGCCATAGCAAACAAAAACTTTGAATTATTTAAATTCTCTACAAAGTTTCAACAAGATAAACCTAAAAGTTCCTTCTCTAGAAAAAGAGTGACCAGTGTTTTTATTCTTAGGCAGTATAATGTGTGCCTTGGGTTAACCTGAAACCTAAGAACACAGGTCTGTGTCACTAGCAGTGACATCTGAGTTGGTTCTTCATTTTGTTTCCTACCACAGGCCAATTCTGCAGGAAAAGGTGTAGTTCTCTGAATGCCATAAACAAAGGTAGAAACAGCTTCTCTCTGCCCCCACACAAAACCATAAAAGTCCTGTACACACAACAGGTTTGTAATTAATGTGATGATAAAACTTTGAGTCCTGCTGTCTAAATTTCAGAGTCCTTGGAAAAGGGCGTTTCATGCATCTAAGTAACATGCGATATGCAACTGTTTAGTGAAATTAAGAATCTGGGACTGGAGCATAAAAATAATTCTTTTACAGTGGAATCTCTCAACACTTAGAAATCTATTCTCTACTAGTAAATTGTGGGGTGGGGGTGAGGGAGGAAGAAACAGGAGAAAAACAGGTTGTCAATCTCCCTTGGGATTCTTTGTATTTACATCTGGATTATATACCTTAGAATAGATAAGCCTTCCTTCTTTCTCACTTTACAAATATATTCGCCCCTATCTTCATTCAAAAACGGACAGAAATAAGACAATTCAAAATGTTCAGACACACCTAACATGTAGTTGTGAGTTTACTACATGCTGGGTGTGTGGATTAAAAAACAAAAAAACAAAAAACAAACCCTCCAGGGACTCACAGATCAACAGCGGCCAACGGTACACCTTGATCTGCATAAATCATAATCAATTCAAACTCAAAGGACAGTACAATGTAGCAGAAAGAAGACACTGAATGAGGCCAGACCACATCACTGAACACTTAGACGGCAGCAACCTAGCTGGCTACCCTCCTGCCAAACCCTTTCCTTTTTAATATGTTCTGAATTCAGTTGCCAGGGTCATTTCTAAAATTCCACTTTCAAGGAGTTTCTGCACTACTCCAGAAGCTTCAAAGACTCCCACTGCTTATCACATCTAGTTCAAACTCGTTTTTTATAGGTTAGCTCCACCTGTTCAAATTTGTTTCACGCTAGATTTGGCTCCCTTATGCCAATACCTTTTGCAGGGGTAGGACCCAAACCTAATTCAACTGCCTATTCTTTACTAACTCCTCAGGTAGCCTTCATTCTAAGCAGTCTCAAAAACTGTTCCTTCCATCGTCAGTTACAGATCCACTAGTTTTCATGACTTTCAGAACTCGGCACAAGTTTTCTTCTTAACAAATGGCAAGTATAACCCAAGGTGTTTTTTAATATTGCCATTCCAAACAGATGTTCATCTTCTCAGCCACCCTTAGTGAAATCAGAGGGAGCCGTTTGCAGTTTGGACATCAGAGTCCCAACACCGTATCTTGTAAAAGAGGGTTTGGGGGCGGTTGCAAACTATGGAGAGAAAATGAAAGGAAGCAGAAAGGAAGAGGGAAGGTCTGGTTTCCGTACTTTGTCTCTTCGTGAGGAGTAGGAAAGGTAGGGAGAAGAGACTCCAAGAAATGAATTCTTGAGGAAATATGGGGGGGAGGAGACCCTGGTGCTCCCTAAGACGGAAATATGGGCTGGGGCGCCCTGGATAACGGAAGGGGCCATCATCTTTAGGAGAGGACAGGTTACAATGGGAAACAAAGAGGTTGCGAGTCGGAAGGTAAGGGGTGGAGAGGCTACCGAGATCCGGCATCTCCGAAGGTCGAGCAGTAAGGAAACAAGTCCCCTCAGGGGACTGGCTGAACCCCGGGGATGAGGTTGCCAGGAGGGACGAGTTGGGCGCCTAGGAAGGCTCTAGAGCGAGCGTTTACGGGGCATCGTTTCTAAGGGGGCGCGGGGGCGGGGAGGAGTTTCTGAGTGGGACCGTGTCCCAAAAGGAGGAACATTTCTCAGGGCGGTGCTCTGAGAGCAGAAAGCCCGGGGACGCGGAAAACGTTAAAGCGCCGAGGCATCGGCATTTCCCAGCCCCAGCCCGGCTTCCCAACACACTCACCGCGTCTCTTCCAAACGCCACCGCTCCAGCTGCAGCTACCGGCCGGCGCAGCCGCACTGAGCGCGCCCCGCCCCACGTGACTCGCCCAGGCCCCGCCCTACGTGACTCGCTCAGCCCCCCACGTGACCCGCAGGGCCCACCCACTCCCTCCTCCTCCTCCTCCTCCTCCTCGTCACTCCTAGTGGTCTCGGCTAGTCCCGCCCTTCTTGGCAAGATGGCGGCCCCCAGCAGTAGCGCGGTAGGCCTCTGGATACGGGGTACCGGCCAGAGTTTGGGAAGTCTCTTCACTCTTACAAAGCCGTTTTGTTCTGCCGCCGCTGCCTCTAAGTCCCTGAATGCCCAGCAATTAGCAGAGAGGCTCCGAGCCCAGAAACGGGAACAAAAGACGAAGAAGCCGGTGAGTCCAGAGGGAGCGCAACTCCCAAGAAGCAGTGTATTTACTGGTTTGGTTTCCCGGGCGAGGAGTGAGGTAGGAGATGATAGCAAGTAAGTAAATGTCTAAGACATGTGGTGGGAGAGTAGGGAGAAAGCCGAGGGGAGAGATCACTAGGTACGGTGTCTTCCTGTGGGCTGGATCTACCTGCACCCGGATTACTGGAGGAACGCGCGAGTCGGACGGAAAAATATGGTTATTCCCTATGCAAATCCTTAGACCTTATTGAAGGTCTTCCTCACCGCTCCTCCACCGCTTCCTCACCAGGCATTTCCCCCACTGCTTCTCCTCTTTCTTTAGATGCCCACAAACCCTGTTCAGCGAAGGGTGCAAGAACTAGTGAGGTTCACACAACAGCTGCAGCGAGTCCACCCCAACGTGCTTGCTAAGGCACTGAGCCGAGGGATTCTCCACCAGGACAAGGACCTTGTGGTCATCAATAAACCTTATGGTCTCCCAGTGCATGGTAAGAACCCTGTGGGAAAGGGAGAGGGACCTGCTTCTACTTTCTGCTACAACGAAGGGAGACTGACACATAACTTATGGGACACTCTGAAACCTTGCATTCAAATTCACTAAAACTTTGTAGATTATTATCCAATAAAAGGCAACACTGAGGATATGGATAAATACGTCAGTCCCCACCTTCCAGAAGTCCGATAGTCAGCATTGATTCATGGAATGCTCTGTATGCAAACCCCCACAGGGATTTATATAGGTAAATGCAGAGGTCAGTGTGGTTCTAGTCTTCAGGTTACTTTCCATCAAAACTGGGAATGAGGAAATAATAAGAAAAAAAGGTGTGTGTGTGTGTGTGTGTGTGTGTGTGTGTGTGAAGATACCTAACATAAAACCCCAGAATAGGACAACCCCTTCGGGGTCCCTTCCCCAGCTTTTCTGTCCTCTTAAATCCTGCTTTCTGGGGGAGGGGGGACCCAGAGTGCCTGGAACTTGGTGGCTACTCAAATGTCTTTCAATAAATGTTGAATGTGGTGATGAGGGATAGCTGAGACGAGTCAGGAAAGACTGACAGAAAAAAATGCATTTATGAAAGTGTTTTGCAGAGGGAAAAGATACACGTTAGCCAGAAGAAGGTAATGCTTTTTGGGGAAGTATGAAAAGGGTTGTGCATAAAGACAAGGGATTAAATCAGACATTGCCAAGTGCTTTCCATAGTTTTTTGTCTTTTGATTCTCACAATAGCTTCTTGCCTTCCTATTCCCCAGTGAGGTTATTTTCAAGATATTTATATTTTATAGATGAGAAAACAAAGTTGGCTAGAGAAGTAATTTGTCCAAGATCAAATGGCTAGACAGGAGAGTACATAGAGTGGCACCCAGTAATATTTAACCCCAAAGCCCATCCTCTTAACTACCCTTCTCTAATGTCTCAGAAGGCCCTCAGGGTCTTGTAAAGGATGTCTGAAGAGAAAGCCATATGCTCTAGGACAGAACTTCTCATTCTTTAATATGCCCGTGAATCACTGAGACAGCTTGTTAAAATGAAGATTCTGATTTAATAGGGTTGGGGGCCTGAGATTCTTTTTTTTTTTTTTTTTTTTTTTCCTTTTTTAGTTGGAGTCTCACTCTGTCGCCCAGGCTGGAATGCAGTGGCATACTCAAGGCCACACCAGCGTCGACCTGCGGGGCTCAGACAATCCTTCCACCTCATTCTTCCAAGTAGCCAGAACTATAGGCATGTGCTACCACACCCATCTAATTTTTTATTTATTGTAGAGATGAGTTCTTACCAAGTTGCCCGGGCTGGTTTCAAACCCACAGGCACAGTCAGTTCACCCACCTTGGCCTCCCAAAGTGCTGGGATTATAGGCTGGGCCACCAAGCTAGGCTGAGATTCATTTCTAGTAAGCACCCTGGGCCTTCCAATATTGCAAGTCCCTGGACCACACTTCAGTAGTAAGACTGTGGAAAATACTGACGGTTTATCCAGTAAGGGCTTTTCTCTCAAGAAGTTTTTTGATGAGAGCTTTTCCTGGCCACTCAAACCTCTTGCTTTTCCCTTCGTAGGTGGCCCTGGAGTCCAGCTCTGCATCAGTGATGTACTGCCTATTCTGGCAAAGATGCTTCATGGTCACAAGGCAGAGCCCTTGCATCTGTGCCACCGACTGGACAAGGAGACCACAGGAGTAATGGTGTTGGCTTGGGAGAAGGATGTGGCACATCAAATCCAAGAGTTGTTTAGAACCCGTCAGGTGGCAAAGAAGTACTGGTATGAAGCCTGCTGATGGCAGTGGAGGTGGTATAAGTGGAGGCATACCTTTCATCGATTTATTCATTACAGGTCCTATTAATAAAAGGACCTGTGAGAATATAAAAAGTATATGAAACAGCTCTGGTGCTTGGAATATTAAGAGTCGAATAGAATAATGGTTCTTAATTCTGGCTGTACATCAAAATTATCAAAAATTAATTTTTTTTAGAGCTACTGTATTCTTCCATTTGCTGCAAAAACAAATTGGCAGTGAAGACTATTTAAAAGAAACACTCAACTCTAAAGAATGTGGTGGTGGCAACACTCCACTACAGTATAACCACCCATTTTCCCAGACAGTTAATTTTGCTATTCTTCCATGATACATACTCCTGTGGAAAAACTTGTCAAGAGCTTTTGTCAGGGCTAGGAGATGAAAACAGCCCTGCACTAATTATAGCTAATTGGAATCTCAGTTAACATCTCTGGTGTAGACCCATAAAATCTAGCCATTGTTTGTTAAACATCTGCAAACTGCAAAATTCCTTAGCCCTTAGCCATAGTTTCTGTTCAACATCTTAAAACTCGGGCAGGTAGTCTTACTGTGACTTTTCTCAGGACTGAGGTGGGTGCTAATCTAGTCATCAAAGTCTGGATATCATCGTAGGAGTAACCATTTGGATACATAATAGGCGATGTGTGGGAGTAACTCTAACATTCTCTGAGTGCATAATAGGTGATGTGCAGGTGGTAAATCCAGGCTGGAACTGCAGAATGCCAGTGATCAGGACTGGTACAACCCTGTCTGCCACCTCTTTACTGATGTAGTCCAACAGCAAGAGGGAGCCTATGATAATGAGAAAGGTGCCAATCAAAAACAGCACAGTGGCAAGTGCAATGGCCTTAAAAGGGATCTTAGGAGAGCTTTTCTTAAACTGAAGGTCAGTGTAACCACTGTCTGTGCTGGAGAGCCTTGAGTATTTCACTTTTCTACTGGGGATTCCAGTAGCCAAGTTGTATGGGACAGCTTCATAACACACTGCCACAGCTACGGTCTGAGTGCTGGACTCTGGGGCAAGTTATTAAACTTCTCTAAGCTTTGTTTTCTTCATATGGAAAATGAACATAGGATTTATGAGATAGTGAAGTGAGTTAATGCATGTGATGTGCTTAACAGTACCTGGCTCATAGTAAGAGCTGAAAAAATAGAAAATAGAGACAATTGTTATATATACAAGCAATCAAAATGTGAAATTGTAAAATACATGTTTTAGTATTTGTGAAAATTGTCCATGAGGTTGCGGAATTGGGAACTATTCCTGGTGTCAGATTTCACAGAGGAGTTCATACTAGGTGCAGGAAGTAGAACATGGTAAGCAACTGATTAGCATTTGCTGACTTACTATGATAGCATACTTATTATATTATAGTTATTCGTTTGAATCTTCTTGCTAGATTTTAAATTCCTTGAAAATGAGATTTTTGTCTTGTTCCTCTATGTAGAGCTGATACTTAGCTAAATCACTGCCTCACCCATTCAGTGAATCTTTACTGTTGAATATTTTTACATGGTAGTGTTAAGTCATTTAGAAGGGTAATCTAGTAGTTACAACTCAGCTTTAAATGTGGTAAAATGTATCAGCATCCCAAACCGCCACCAACCTAAAGCAGGGTGTCCAGGGTGAAATAGTGTGTGAGTGGGGTTTTGACCCCTCAGTGAGTCCGCAATAGGCCACCAGGTATCTAGAAGGACTTCTCTGTGATTGGCCTGAAAGAGGCAAAAATTTAAGAACAGATTAAACACAGCCTTCTGCCTGTCTGATGTGATGAGAAGGAAAGCATCAACAAAAGGTGATTTGGAATGAGTTGTGGCTGGGGTTTTTGTAACTTCTTTGGGCACAGTTCTTTCCTGTTTTACTTACTTGGCAAATTAGGGGTGGTCCTGTGAATTTTTCATTAGATTAATTCATTTATGTATTCATTTGTAATTTATACAAAACTGTATTTTCCTAATTTTATTTTAACAGTTCATATCCATTTTTAAAGACTAGAGTGAAAGACCACGATATTAATGTAATTTTTTTCTCTTCCTCCCAAATATTCTACAATTAGTGTGTATGATTTTAGTAGTAAAATAGATATGCTTGTAAGAAGTATCCAATTCTTAGGCTAAACACTATTCCAAGAGAATCGTGTGAGATGCTCTGATCATGAGAAGTGACTGCATTCTTGCAGAAGATCCATTATGAAACCTCTTAAGTGACCAAATCTAAGGATCTCCTCCCTTGCTTCTGTGACTAAAGCAGCCATCTACGTGTCACCCCAGGGCCATCACTGTACGCGTCCCTGTGCCCTCAGCAGGAGTTGTGGATATCCCCATCATGGAGAAGGAAGTGCAAGGCCACCAGCAACACCACAAGGTGAGAGCTGCTTCCTTGAGGCATGACTTTCTGCTCTTCCTTGAAAATCATTTGTATCTTGATTTCTTTGGCTTCAGATGACGTTGTCCCCGAGTTACCGCATGGACAATGGGAAAATGGTGAAAGTGCGGAGTAGCCGGAATGCACATGTTGCTGTAACTCAATACCAGGTGCTAAGCAGCACTCTCTCCTCTGCCTTCTTGGAGCTCCAGCCCATTACTGGTGAGGGTCTCACTATTCCACAGCAGGATCGCAAAACCTTGTGCTATCAAGCCCTGCCAGGTCCTCGTGTTGGTCCCTGCCCTTATTCTGAGCAGCTGGTACTCTGGGTGGGCTGAGGTTGCGGCTGAATTGTGTAAGTGTGCTTCTGGTGCTAATCTGTGGCTGGGGGCTCCCAGAGGGATGGTTGTAGGTAGCAGCAGAATACAAACAGTTTGAATATCTTTTTTTTTTTTTGAGTTGGAGTCTCACTCTGTTGCCCAGACTGGAGTGCAGTGGCCGCTCCCGGCCACCGCAGCCTCGACCTGCTGGGCTCCGGCAATCCTTCCACCTCAGCCTTCCAAGTAGCCGGAGTTACAGGCATGTGCTACCACAGCCGGCTGATTTTTGATTTATTGTAGAGATGAGGTCTCTCTGCCCAGGCGGGTCTCGAACCCGTGGGCTCAGGCAATCCACTCACCTCAGCCTCCCAAAGGCGCGGGATTATAGGCTGAGCCACCAAGCCCAGCAGTTGAATATCTTTTTTCCTTTTTTTTGAGTTGGAGTCTTACTCTGTTACCCAGGCTAGAGTGCAGAGACGAGTTCTCGCCAAGTTGCTCAGGCTGGTCTCGAACCCCTGGGCTCACACAGTCCTCTCGCTTTTGCCTTCCAAAGTGCTGGGTTTAAAGGCATGAGCCACCACACCTAGCCTGAATATCTTTATTTAAAAATGTGTAGAATCGTTCCTCAAAACATTTAACACATAAAATTACCATAAGATCCAGCAATTCCACTTCTGGGTATATACCCAAAAGAATTGAAAACAGGAACTCAAACAGATATTTGCACACCTGTAATTGTAGCAGCAGTATTCACAATAGCCAAAAGGTGAAGACAGTCTAACTGTCCATTGATGGATAAATGGAGAAAGAAAATGTAGTCTGCACATATAATAGAATATTATTTTCAGCCTTAAAAAAATTAAAGGGAAGGAAATTCTGACTCACGCTACAACATGGATGAATCTTGAAAACACTGTGCTAAGTGAAATAAGCCAGACACAAAGGGTCAAATACTGTATGCCTCCACTTATATGAGGTACCTAGGTAGTCAGATTCATAGAGACAGAAAATAGAATATAGAATGGTGGTTGCCAAAAGCTTGGGGAAAGGTGATGGGAGGGGGAGGAGTTGGGAATTATTGTTTAATTGGTGCAGAATTTCAGCTTGGGAAGATGAGAAAGTTCTAGAGATGGATGGTAGTGATGGTTGCAAAGCATTGTGAATGTATTTGATGTCACTTAACTGTATACTTAAAAATTGGAAATTTTATGTATATTTTACTACAATTTAAATAATGTGTGAAGCAGTACTATTTATCATTATGTAGTGAAATTATTAAAATGTTAGGCTAAGCCGGGCTCGGTGGCTCAGCCTGTAATCCCACACCTTGGGAGACTGAAGTGAGTGGATTGCCTGAGCCTGCGGGCCCGAGACTCGCCTGGGAAACTTGGCGAGACCTCATCTCTACAATAAATCAAAAATCAGCCGGGCATGGTAGCGTGCGCCTGTAATTCCGGCTACTCGGAAGGCTGAGGCGGAAGGATCGCCAGAGCCCAGCAGGTCGAGGCTGCGAAGGCTGGGAGCGGCCACTGCACTCCAGTCTGGGTGACAGAGTGAGACTCCAACTAAAAAAAAAAAAATCAAAAAGAAAAGTTAGGCTAATGGTAGACACCAAGTTCTTGATGATGGTAATCTGATAGAAAGAGAGAACTGTAATGGAGGGGCTACTTACCTAGAGTATGTTCAGTATTTAGTTCCTAAACTGACTGGTGCTACATAGCTTATAGTTTGTTATATTATTCTGAGTACCTTAATATAGTTGGAACCTGCCAGTAACTGGCATATTTGATTTAATATGATTTGAGGCAGATGTCAGTACTCATATTTTTTCTGTAGCCTCTCCTAAGTTTTCTTTCTCTTTTTAAGGAATAAAACATCAGCTTCGAGTTCACTTGTCTTTTGGATTGGATTGTCCAATCCTTGGTGATCACAAGTACTCTGACTGGAGTAGTTTGGCGCCCCAGGTAATTCTGGTTTGACCCAATGTGCAACAGAATAAGAGAGAGAACTTAGACTTTCCCTTTGTTACAACCCTAAAGTGAGTCACAACAAAGATGTAATGATTGCCTTCAGACATGGGACCATACTCATTATCTAGCTTTTAGAGAAATTTAGAAGCAGTTAGTAAGCATCCTCATGGAGCTACAGGAGCTATTAGCAAAATCTTCCTCTTTCTTTTGTTTAGACTCACATTTTGTTGGGAGGATATAGGCAAGGGGAGGAATGTTTCTGAAGGCCAGAAGCGGCCTTTCAGGCTACTGCTTAAGAACTATGGTGGAATCCTTTTCATCCTTTGATGTTACAGCCCATTCTCTTGGTAGGCTACAGTACTGGCCAATCAGAAATTTGGTGTGGTCATTTTTCTCTTACTTGGGTTCCAAGCCCTTCTAGACAGGCCCCTGGAAAAGGATGTCCCTTACTATGTCTTCCAGTGGGTTAGTGTTGGTTCCTTTTAAGTGGAAGTCTTCTGACCCTCCATGCTGGTAGGATGGACTTGGCCTTGCTCTCAAGGCTCTGTCTTTTCTTTGTATAGAAGCTCTCCGTTGGCACTCTGAAGAAGCTGGGGCTGGAACAATCGAAGACCCGCCATATCCCCCTTCACCTGCATGCCCGGCAGTTGATTCTGCCTGCCCTGGGGTCCAGGAAGGAGGAACTCAACTTGGTCTGCAAACTTCCTCACTTCTTTGTACATTCCCTGCGCCGTCTGGGTTTAGAGATGCCAAGTCAGGATCAAAATAGGGACAGTGAACTTGGGCCTCTGGGAGCACAGTGAAAACCCTGGAAGCATCTGGCATCTGGGAGCATACACAGGCCCCTGAACTCTTCATTTTGTTTCCTGGACTCTGCCAACTTCTTACTTGAACAGACTCCAAAAGAGTCAGGTGGGATAAGTTGAAGCAGCTCGACTACAGTGTTCTTAATGGAGAATAAAGTCAGTTTCCTGACAGTTTGACTACACTGTTGAAAAGCTTGCTGCAAGTCTCCCTGCCACAGAATCTCCTTGCGAAGATGGAAGAAAGCCCAGGACCAGGCAGATTGGGGCGATGACTGGAAAAGGAGAACTAAAGGACAGAATCTAGGGTCGGGAACTGTTTTCATTCAACAGCAAAACTCTTTAACTACAAGGAAGGTTCCCATGGTTGGAAAGAACATACTGATTAAACATCTCAGGGGGTCCAGGGATTTGTCAAGCTGTAGCATGGGTGCCTTTCTGCTCTCTGGAACCTGAGAAGAGGGTGGTTAGGGGATATCGAGGTGGGGTAGTTGATAAGGAAAGCCGATGTGAATGGCAGTCAGGTAATGCAAATGAGTGAAGTTGGCAAAGAGGTAAGGCAGTGGTGGGGGTAACAAACCAGGGAGCATACATACTAACAATTGTTAGCTCCAGCTGGTTGTCGCCATGTGGCAATGGATTTTCCCATGTTTTCAGAGAATCAGGAAACACAGAGATTTATGTGAAATTTCACAACGTATTGCCAACTAAATCAAATGAATGGTGCAGGAGTTTGAGGAAAGCTGTCATCTTGAAAGTGCTGGATCAGTGGTTAGCATTTTAGCTGCTTGTAGTATCTGTCCTTTCTAGACTATGGCATGGCTTTGGTTGGTCCATAAATGTGTGGTTATAAGGGTGCTACCATTTGAGAAAATCTTTATTTTGGAAACACACCTCCTGTTCTTGGGTCTCAGGAAGGAGAGGGCCATGCTGGACACTACTAGAGATGAATGGAAATGACCTTGACTTTCCTGCTTAGTTGGTCCATCTAGCTCTCACCTTGTTTCTTGCAAACAAATACACCTTAAATCACTTTGGGCTGAGCTGAAGAAAGCTGGAGTGACAGAACTGCCTTTATATGTTCCCTCTGATGCCACTTTCTAAACCCCCTTCCCTGTTTCCATGATACTATTACTGTGCATGGTGAATTGAAAGCACAGGTGATATAGCCTTTTGTTTTGTAGGGCCTAAATATTTTGACTGTTGTTTCTGTTTCTAGTAAACCATGCTTCTCCAGCTAAAGGGACAAGGATGTGACACTTAGGAAGTATTGACAGTTTGACTTTGATTCAGGGAGACTGATGAACAGGAATACCCACAAGAATAGAGAACTATCTTAGAAGAGCAGATGATGGAAAGTTAGAATTGAAAAATACGGAAAAAGGAGCTAGTCAGGGTACATTTGGAAAAGTGACGTATGATTGACATCTCATTATCCTGTTTGGGCTCTTCTAGGATGTGAATCTACAGTCTTTAACTTGGCAAACTGAGGAGTCAGTCGGTTGAAAGTATATGGGGTATTCACTCATTTCAAGGAGCTTCTCATTAGCTGGGAAAATTTGATGAGTAATGAGTAAGTGCAAAGCAGGGCTATGGTTGCCTCAGCCGGCACGTTGGAGCCACACTGAGAACTAGCTGTGTGTCACTCACTGTATCAGTTGCACCATGGAAGCTGCTCTGCTCTTCTGATCTTTTTTAGCTCTTCAGTGCTAGGTTTAGTGCTGGTTGCTGTTCTGAGAGCTACCAAATTAGTGACAGTTGGCTTTTTGAAAATTCCTAAGCCACCCTGGGATTCAGGGGACTGGGGCAGATGTCCACATCAGTGCACAGCTAGCTTCTTCAGTGCTGACTGGGTCATGGGATGCTTGAGGATCAGGACAGTGACCCTAAGCAACCTAGTTGAAGATCTGCAACTTAGGGTGTTGGGGGAGCAGGGTAGGCCCTATGATTATAGTTTGTCAGAGGAAGCAGAAATATTCTGGTATGGTGTTTCATCAGCCATAAAAAGTGTGACTTATAAAAATGTGTTTGTGTTTATTTGTAAATATGAGTGACCTTTTAAAAATTAATAGAACATACATGTGCACCATAGGAAACATCAGATATTCGGTGAGGTAGTCCACTTGTAGTTAGTTGTCATCTGAGTATTGAGAAGGGCCTGTGTTAGGGAGTGTGACAGATTTGTCTGGGCCAGACGTCATGTCTTGGCTCCCAGGGGTGATGTGGCCCTAGGAACAGACTGCTCTGAATGTGCAGGGAGGACAGGGGGTGGGATCTCATCAGGCCAGGCCAAGTGGCACAGGACACTGGCCACAGAGTTGGGACCCACCCCTCTGGGATTAAAGCCTGGTCTGGTAGGGGTGGGGGGACCTAGTGGGTGCCAAACACTGCCAAATATAAAAGTAAGGAAGACACTCTTTGTCTTCAAAAGTGAGTTCTTCTCCAGTTGTTCAGAGCAAGAATTGGCAAACATTCTCCAAAAAGGGCCAGATAGTAAATATTTTAGACTTTGCATGTCATATAACCCTGTTGAAACTACTCAATTCTGCCATCATATGAAGCACAAAAGCAGACGTAGACAATATGTAAGTGAATGAGCAAGGCTGTTTCAATAACATTTTATTCATGGACCCTGAAATGTGAAATTCATGTGATTTTCACATGTCACTGGTGTCTTCATCTGCTCAGGCTGCCATAGTAAAATACCACAGACTGGGTGGCTTAAACAACATATTTATTTCTACAGTTCTGGAGGTTGGACGTCCAAGAATACAGGTGTTGGCAGGCCTGTCCTTGGGCCTCTCTCCTTGGCTTGGAGATGGCTGCCCCCTTGCTGCGTCCTCGTGTGTCTTTTTTCTGTGCACGTGCACCCCTGGTATTTTCTTATGTGGATGCTGGTCAGATTGGATTAGGGCTCCATCTTTATGATCTCATTTAGCCTGAATTACCTCCTTAAAGGCCCTATCTCCAACTACAGTCACATTGGGGGTTAGGACTTCAATATGTGAATTTTGAGTAGGGGGAGAATTGGGCACATTTTTGTCTGTAACATTATTTTGATTTTTTTCAACCATTAAAAAAATGTAAAAACCGGCTGGGCTCGGTGGCTCAGCCTGTAATCCTGCGCTTTGGGAGGCCGAAGTGAGTGGATTGCCTGAGCCCACGGGTTTGAGACCCACCTGGGCAACTTGGTGAGACCTCATCTCTACAATAAATCAAAAAAATTTAGCCGAGCGTGGTAGCATGTGCCTGTAGTTCCAGCTACTTGGAAGGCTGAGGCGGAAGAATCGCCAGAGCCCAGCAGGTCGAGGCTGTGGTGGTCGGGAGCATGCCACTGCACTCCAGTCTGGGTGACTGAGTGAGACGCCAACTCAAAAAAAAAAAAATGTAAAAACCATTCTTAAGTCATAAAAAAAAGTGATAGGCCACATTCAGTCTGCTGGCTGAGGTTGGGCTGTTTGTATTTCTAGTAAACCATGCTTCTGGAGATAAAGGGATAAGAGGGTGACAGGAAATGTTGGTAACTGACTTTGATTCAGGGAGACAGATGAAGAGGACTTCTGATGTTGTGGGTGTTTGGGGGAAATCCCAGGTACCCAGGGAAGCACTCTAAAGGGACCAGGCAGTGTCCTGCATGCCACTATCTGGACATAGGGCAAACCAAGGCTGCAGGTGTGGAGTGGTCTACAGCAAGCTCCACACTGCTGCCCTGGCTGGGCAGGCGGAGGCAAGGGATGGTGAAGTTGTTCCTTTTCTGTGTTTTCTTAGGCCTAAAGAAAGGAATACATGATTCTCTGGTCCTTAATGGGATCCGGACTGCCTGAGCAGTGGGTCTTGCTGGGTACAGTGGCTATCTTTAATCATTGAAAGTAAGAGGAGCTAAGCACGGTGGCTCACTCCTGGGATCCCAAGATTTTGAGAGGCGGAGGCGAGAGCATTGCCTGAGCCCAGGGGTTCGCCTGGGGTTGAACTTGAGACCTCGTTTTTACAATAAACCAAAAAATTAGCTGGGCATGTTGGCGTGTGCCTGTGGTTCCAACTACTTGGAAGGCTTATGCTGAAGGATCTTCTGAGCCTAGCGGGTTGAGGCTGCGGCGGCTGTGAATGTGCCACTGCACTCCAACCTGGAGGACAGAGTAAGATTCCTTCTCAAAAAAAACGTAAGAGGCATTTTATCCTAGGTTGTGGGATCTGGGGACCTGGGATTATACAAGGGAGGTTGGAATATGCACACAATGAACTTCTCCTATTTTGAAATGTTGATTAGAACCAGTTAAAAGGTTTGATATAATATTGAGCCATAAACTATAATTAGCATAAGAAAATGTGTTTTTTTGTATGGCTTTCTATTTTTATCAAAGTTCTGGCTATGTGCTCATGCCAGCACTTTGGGAAGCCAAAGTAGGAAGATTGCTTGAGCTCAGGAGTTTGAGACCAGCCTAGGCAACATAGCAAGATATCATCTCTACAAAAAATAAAAAAATTATCCAGGCATGGTGGCACACACCTGTAGTCCCAGCTACTCAGGAAGCTGAGGCAGAGGGATTGCCTGATTCCAGGAAGTCAGGACTGTGGTGAGCTGTGATTGTGCCACTGCACTCCAGCCCAGGTGGCAGAGACCTCAACTTAAAAACAGACAAACAAAGAACCAGAGTTCTACATGTGCATGATTGAGAAATCAAGAACTAAAGGCTTATAAAAATAAGCAGCTCCTTGCGCATGTGGGTCTTTGGTTTTGAGCCCTCCAGGAAATGTCTGCATAAGCTCTGGGAAGTGCTTATACTCAACAGGCTGGAGGCCAGCTCTCCCAGCACTCACTTCTGGCGGCAGCACCCAGCTCTTCTGCACAGGAGGCAGTTCCTGGGCAGTCTGGTCTTCTCTGCACTGTGTGCACCCAACCTCAACCCACAAAGCACTGTCTCCCCTTCATGTCACAGGTATCTTTACATCTGATAACCAGGTCTCTCCCACTCTGGGCTTCGCACTTGCTTTGATTCCACCAGTCCCTCCTGCATCTTCTCATTTGATCTCCTTTTGGGCTCCTTGAAGGGCTTCTCCATGGTGCCCCAGAGCTCCATCTTTGCATCCTGCCCTCTCCCATAGGGAGAGCTGGAATGACTTTGGAAACATCACCTGTGTGCTGATGATCTGTAAGTCTGCCTCTGACCTTGATCTCCCCTTTGAGCATTTGATCTTCACATCCATCTGCCTATGGTCATCTCCCATAAGGCTCCCTTTTGGTTACCTCACATCATGACCAAACTGCTCATTGCCTTTTCTCTCCAGGCCTGTTCCCCTCCTGTTATCTACCTTAGTTAAATGATGTCACCAGGATCTTGGGAAGTCATCTTTGACTCCTCCCTTGCACTGGTCCCCAAATCCAGTTAATCAATAAGTTCATGCCAGTTCACTCTAAAACCTTTCTCTTCAGGCTGGGCATGGTAGCTCATGACTATAATCCCAGCTCTTGGGGAGGCTGAGATGGGAGGATTGCTTGAGGTCAGGAATTTGAGACCAGCCTGGGCAATAGAGCAAGACCCCATCTCTACAAAAAATTTTTAAAAATTAGCCTGGCATGGTGACTTACTCCTATAACCCCAGCTACTCTGAAGGCTGAAGTGGGAGGATCACCTGAGACCAGCTGATTGTGCCACTGCACTCCAGCCTGGACAACAGAGTGAGACCCTAAAAATAAAAAGATCGGGCATGGTGGCTCACACCTGTAGTCCTAGCACTTTGGGAGGCTAAGGCAAGAGAATTGCTTGAGCTCAGGAGTTTGAGACTATCCTGGGCAATGTAGCAAGACATCTTCTCTACAAAAATAAAAAAATTAGCCAGGTTTGGTGGCACACACCTGTAGTCCCAGCTACTGGGGAGGCTGAGGTGGAAGAATTGCCTGAGCCCAGGAGGTTGAGGCTGCCATGAACAGTGATTGTGCCACTGCTCTCCAAAGTGAGACCCCAACTCAAATATAAGAAATAATAAAAACAGGCCAGGTGTGGTGGCTCATGCCTATAATACCAGCACTTTGGAAGGCTAAAGCAGGAGGATTGCTTGAGCCCAGGAGCTTAAGACCAGCCTGGACAACATAGCAAGACCTCATCTCTACAAAAAATTTTAAAAATAGCTGGATGTGGTGGCACCTGCCTGTAGTCCCAGCTACCTGGGAGGCTGAGGCAGGAAGAAGATCACTGGAGCCCAGGAGTTTGAGGCTGCAGTGAGCCATGATTGTGCTACTGCACTCCAGCCTGGACAACAGAATGAGGCCCTGACTCAAAAATAAACATAAATAAATACAAATAAAGTCCTTCTCTTAAAAGGCACTTCCCTCTGTAATTCTACAACCTCTCCTAAGAACCAGCTTCATTGTCCTCAGCCTTCAACTATGATGGGATAGATCTGAAAGGTGGAGGTGCATAGTAGTTTAGAAATAGGACCATTAGGCAATCTACTAGTTCCCACCAGAAGCCAAACTCAGAAGACAGTGTTATGACTGTCCCTGGGTCCGAGCAGTGGTGGGCGGTTTTAACCATACCAGACACCTGGAGCAACCTACCCCCGTGTTTTTTTAAGTCTGCTTCCCTTGGCTCTCTGGGCTGCTTTTAACCAGAGTGCCTAGTAGGATATGTGAAAACATAACCTTCTGCTTGTGCAAAACATGCCGTATAGAGGCAGACAGCTTTTTCCCTTGTGAGATGCAAGATCCACTGGCTCAGTGCCATGTAATTCCGACACCCCCTACCCAGTTAGGCCACATGGCACACTTTAACAGGACAGTCCACTAGAGTCCTCTCACTTCAGACACCAGCTGCCAACTCTGGGGTTTCCTGGTCACCTGTACTTTTGACCAACTAGCTGCAAATTCAGGAGTTCCCACAAACCCCTCAGGTTTGATCATTGACCAGAATGGCCCTCAGAGCTCAAAAGTGCTATACTTATTACTATAGTTTTATAATGCATTAGAAGGATACAAATCAGGACCAGCTAAAAGAAGAGGTGTAAGGTCTGGCAGGGTCACAAACA